TTGGCTGTGCATGGCGGTGCCGGGCAGGGTACATCGAAGTCTTTCAGCCACTCTAGCCCCACTTTTCATCGTCTGAGTCCCCCCCTCTCCGTCCCTCGCTTCCCAGGGGCACCGCATGAAGGTTCCATCCGCGGACCCCCTTCGCCGGCTCCCACGGCGTTCGGCTTCCATCAACGGTGGTCACGGTGCCGGCAGCGGCAACAGTAGCGGCGACCGCAGCAACTACGTGCAGACAGGCCACCACAACGGCAGCGTCAGCGTTCCCGCCTTTCCCTGCAAGTGCGGCGGCGGCGACGGTGGTGGGGGAGGCTTCCGCCCCCCGGTCACCTTCATGGACAACGGCTGCAGGAACGCGGTGGCCGCGGCGTGGCCTTCCAAGAACCGGAACCACGTCGAGGACCGCGGTTGGTCCACGGGGCGCTCGTGTGGACTGGAGGAGGGACAATCTCCACCTGCCCTTGGTAGCGATATCAGCGCCGACGAGTTCATCTCTTCGCCGTACAGAGAGAAGTGGTCGCTCATCTTTGAGCTTCACAAAGAGGTGAGTGAGTGTCTCTTTGTTGACAATGACAAATGCTACAGACCCGCGTGGCTATGCATGGCGGCGCCGGGCAGCTTGTATCGAAGTCCTTCAGCAACACAAGCCCCACCCTTCGTCGTGTAGATCCCCCTCTCCCTCCCCCGCTTCACAGGGGCACGCATGAAGGTTCCCTTCGCGGATCCCCCTTGTCCGGCTCCCGCGACGTTTTCCTTCACAAAAGGACACGCACTCACCTCGTAGTAGAGCTCCAAGATGAACGACCACTTGGCCTCGCACTTTGGAGAGATAAACTCGGCGGCACAATCCCCGCATCCTGTTGGTAGCGGTTATAATGCCACCGAGTGTATCTCTCCAAAGTCGAGGACAAGTGGTCGTTCATCTTGGAGCTCTAAAACGAGGTACATGAGTGTATCTTTGTTGACATGATAATGCCTGCAGTCCCGTATGATTGGCGGGTGGTTGATTTGATCCTACGTGTGGTATGGTGGTCTGTGCTGCTCTTCGGGGTGCGGTGTCGAAGTTGCGCCACATGAGTTGTTTGCTTCCTTTTGGTCCACGTGTTTACTGCGTGTGCTGTTTGGAGTGAACGAAAATGTAGGGGATTCAAGCATTTTCTCGCCGGCAGGTCTTGGTGGTGAAGTTGGGCTCTGCGCATACTCCCCTCGTGTAACAATCGATTCTGACGTCATCGTTTCTCGTGATACCGACAGCCATGCCTGGACGACGCGACGCCGCGGCATCCGGTCAAGAAGCGAAAGGTGGGGCATGGCAAAGGGCCTCAGCACCAGCAGTCCTTCCTCCCCCCCCTCGACTCCCGAGGTGCCGCCGCCAGCCCGGAGGTGTTGGCGTGGTCGTCAACGATTGCAGCCCTTGGCAATGCCGGCGTTGGGCGTGGCGTGGGTATCAGCGGCGGCGGCGGCGGGGGTCTCGGCACCTTGCATGCTGACGGCAGCCACCAGCAGCAACAGCAGCAGCCGTCTGGACCTTTCACCGGCGCCGGCGCCGGCGCCAGCAGCTGCATCGGAAGCAGCAGCAGCAGCAGCAGCAGCAGCGGCAGCGGCAGCGGCAGCAGCGGCGGCAGCGGCTACGACAGCGTCGACAGCGGCATTGGCAGCAGCGGCTACAACAGCGGCAGCAGCAGCGGTAGCGGTAGCGGCAGTGGCAATGTCGACAGGCTTCCTACGGACTTGGGGCTGGGGTTCAGCGCGCAGAGCAGCATCCACACGCCGCCGACGGGAGACTGGCTGGCGACAGACGCTTTGTTCGGAATAGACTTTTGGGGGAGTTCGGATATTTAATTTACCTCACCTTACCTTACCGTCGGGTACGTTGATAATTTCTCTATGCCACCGTCACTCCTTGAAATGTGCGGCATTATTTTCTACGCCATGTTTGTTACGGGGCGTTTTACTTCTATGGCGCGTGTTTGTCTAGCGGAACGTCGCATTAGATGAAGCATTTCATATCGTCATATCATCAGGATTTTTTTAGTTCTTTTTTGGTGAGGAGGAATAGGGAGGAAGGCAAGGCACCTGCATCTTGACCAACCATGTTGTGGGATGTGATGTGTGTGCTTGTGCGTACCTTTTTACGGCGCACATTCGAGCCTAACGCAACGTGTGTCGAACCATCCGACACGGTGCGGAGTTGGGGGGGCGATGTTTCGTGTAATCACGTGGAGGGCACTCACAACCGGCGGGCATGGGCCAAATGTTGTAGGTCAGATGCGAGGGATGTGTGTTTGAGGGGGTGTCTGCTTGAGAGAGATGTGCAGAGGTACAGCTTACCGGTAGCCTTTGATGGAGTGTAATTCAACGTGTGTTTGTAAGTTTGTTTGTAAAACCATCCAACGTGGACGACGGAGTGTGGAAAGGGGTGTAGAGTGTGGACACGAGGTAAACGATTTTGCAGATCATTGTGATTGCATTCAGCAGAAGAGAGGGTTGAAGACGTTTGTGGTTGCGAGAGGTGCGAGTTAGGCTAGGGTAGCAGTGGTAGCAGTAAAGACGAGGGCCAATCGTGCAGTTCAACCTGCGATTAAACCACAAAGTAGGTTGGGGAAGAAAGGTGGATATTTGACGTTTTGGTGTTCAATATTGTTGTCGGATCGAACCGAGAGTGCTTTCAAGACTAGGGGGGGTTGGGTTGAAAATGTGTTATTGTGCCTAAGGTCAAAATAAAAGAGGCTTCATCCTAGAAAAGATTCCAGCTTGTGGTGCCATCCAAAAGGTTCGGGGGTGGGTGTCGTGAATTGAACAATTGTTCGGACCACCTCGAGCATTCGGCAGCACGGACATGGAACACGAATATACAAGTGGGTTCAGAACGTGTGTCATTTATGTGTGGTTGCGAGAGACATTTGCTTGTTTTCTCCATCGACCACGCTAGGGGCCGGACCATTGCAAATAGGTCCTTTCTATCGGGGGACGCTTTGCATGTTGCTAGTGCGAGAATGTAGAGGGTTGAGCCTAGTGTAGAGTGCAACGTTTGGAACCATCCGACATGGGGGAGGGGGGG